GCTTCGCCATATATTCCCGACTCTGCTGTAATCTCTCACACATTTCTTTAACACTCAAAAAAGTCTTGCCTGCAGGCTGGGGACTTGGTCGGATCATTATGTGAGGATTTGGCATGAACAGACCCAGGGTGCAGGCAGGTTCCAAAAGTTGAACAAAAATTTATTAAAAGTAACAAAAAACTGCTGAAAAGACAGCTCAACTTACAGATGCAGATCACAGAGACGGGGGGAACAGAACACAGCAAACACAATGATCCGACCAAGACTGAGACAGGACAGGGTTTAAATACACAGAAGACTAATGACTGAAACACAAAACACCTGGGGAGAAACACGAGGGTGACTAATCAAACAAATAAGGGGCAGCTGGACTGAGACACACTGGGGAACATAGAAACACAAGGAAAACCAAGGTGAAAACTGACAAATCATGACAATAGCAAGGCATTCACGAAAAAATCACTCCATTGTCCCGAGATGATTAGCAAGTGCTGGATGGTGTACTGTTTTGTACCGAAAACCGGTTGTTATTTTTGTTATGATATGACTTTTCTGAATACCGGTGTAAATAGCCTGAATACGTGCGGAACATTACGTCGTTTTATTAACACAACAATAGACCAGATAATGATCTCAACCCTTCACGATCGGACCTAAATGCATGATTATTATCTACAACCAGGCAAAGAAGAAAAGACGTACAAGAGGAGGGAAACAGTGATATAGAGGTGCAGTAAAAGAAAAAAGTCAATAAGTAAAGCTTGTACATTTTATTATCAGCTGAGCTGTGAGGGAAAAAATACCGTCAAATACCGTGAAACTGGTGTAAATGTTGAAAATACCGTGATATAAAATTTGGGTCATACCACCCAGCTCTATGATTAGCCTCTGCTAGTTAGCAAGTTTCACTTCCTGTTTACTACCGAAAAGCTTGTCACCGATGTCTGACATTGTGTAGCCTCGTCTGACGTAATCATGCGTTGCATAGTCTCGTCTGATGTAATCACGCGTCGTGTAGCCTCGTCTGACGTAATCACGCGTTGCGTAACCTCGTCTGACGTAATCACGCGTTGCGTAGCCTCGTCTGACGTAATCAGGCGTTGCGTGGCCTCGTCTGACGTAATCAGGCGTTGCGTGGCCTCGTCTGACGTAATCAGGCGTTGCGTGGCCTCGTCTGACGTAATCAGGCGTTGCGTAGCCTTGTTTATTCGCATCAAACAGTCGAGAGGGAAACTAGATGGAAACAGTCTAGATTCAAGTTTTTATTTAATTTTTTGTGAATTTTGAAAAGTTCGATAAAAATTCACTCTGTAACTGGATGGAAACACTATTACTGTCTAAAAGGAGTAGAACGTTAGCCAAAAGAGCAGAATGCTAACTCAAATGAGCAGAAGACCAACTAAAAGCTAAATATAGAAAAATGATGGATAAAACCAATCATAGCAAAATAATAAAAAGCCAACTAGGAGCTAATAATATTTAAAGTTGGGCTAAATTAGTCTAAGAGTAGTAGAATGGTAGCTAAAAACAGCATCAGACAAAAATAGAACGAATGCTGAAGCAGATTTAGAAAACAGTGTTGGTGAAAGAATGCAGGCTGCTCCAGGTTGTGTTGCCACAAAGAAAAGGTTTTAAACTGGGCAGAAAAAATGAGAGGAGAGAGGTAGGGGTTTTGTGTGTGTATGTGTGTATGTGCTTGCTCCTGCTTTGGGGTATTGTGTGTCAACTTGGTGCACTCTCCACTGCAGCTGTCTGCTGAATGGTAATCAGTGACACCAGGAGAGAGGGGGAGAGGGAGGCAGAGACAGGAAGGCAGATTAAAAGAGAGACAGGGGGAAGAGAGGGAAGAAAGCAACGTGAGGAGGGAGGTGGAATGCCAAGCTGACAATCCTGCTGCATTATCTGCCTGCCAGTACTGCAAGTGTGAAAGGAAAGGCTAGAGGAGACCTGCAGGGAGATGCTGGGATGTAAAATAGGTAATGTGTACAAGTGCCTTCTCTCAAATAAAAGCATGCCTGATGTTTAGCGCCTCAGAGCTGTTTTTAAAAAGAAGTTAATTGTAAACTGAGACCCTGTGTTCAGGCTTTATGTTTGTGAAGCTCCAGGTGGATGTATGTTGGTTTTTATCTGTCTGTTTATGGAGCTGCTTTGCAGAAAGTGCCAGGATTCGTTGTTCAGTCTATTTTTGCCTCAGCCCAGACAGCAGATAATAGTCGGCGCCTTCAGGCGAGCCATCCTTAGCAGTAGAATTCATTTCATTCATGATGGATTTTTGTGAACTAGTTTCTGATTCAAGGAGCTTCTTGTGCTGTAAGTGAGTTTGAACTGACCCAGATACCAGTTGTTTGTGCTGGTGGGTGCTGCAGGAGAACTTGTCATCTCAAATCACATATTCATGCACAAGTTGATATAAATTTTTACACCCAAAAGATCAGGTTTGTTTCTTGGTCCTGTTCATTGGAACACTGCAGGAACTGAATGAGGCCAGCCGATACACATCTGTTGGTAAAGGAGAGCAGCCATGATGAAACATGTCATTCTAGAAATTACTCTCTTATTCCTCTGCTGCATCATCATCCCTGTGCATGACCCAAAATAACATGCCAGCATAGAGGAGTGTGAATAAGTAGGAAGCATCACAATAGCTGGGTTTCCATTCACCATGACAATGCGCAACTTAGGTTTTTAAAAAATAAATTTGCTCAATGGAAACACATCAATTAAAAAAAAAACATTTGTCAACAAAATGTTTTTGCACTAGGATGAGGTGGTTTTTCAGCYGTATCTAAATTGGTGTTTTTCACAAAACTGCAATGGAAACASTTTTTTCACATCACAGGAGTCACGTGATCAACAACCGTCTGTTTCTACTGGTGAAAAAGACGATGATGAAGAAGATAACAGGAAGTAGAAGTAGTAGTAATATCACAGAAGTAGTATAAAATAGTAAACTCAGCGACTACAATTTCCCAAAAACACAGCATACGTAGCCGCTCCCAAGTAGGGACTTGTCTCTGGAAAGCCTCGATAAAAGACGCCGACGTCTCCTCTGATGATGAGCGCTAGTGTCGTGGTAGCAACATGCTATGTGTTTACATCCATCGCTGCCATGTTTGTAATGACTTATCATGAGAACAAACGTATTCACGTGACTTTAAGAACATTTATTACTTCATGGAAACACTGCAGTTGTGAAACTGTGTTTTTCAACATTAACAGAATATCGACAAAGTTTTGTGCACATTTGTAATGGAAACACAGCTACTAAAGTTTTCCTTTTAAGGTGTAAAATGCACAGTTTGTGTGAAAAAAGGCTTTGGTTTTCCATCTGAACTAGAGGACAGACAGAAGGTTACAGCAAGATGAGTGAACGTAGAAAAGACCATATATGAGCACAGGTCTACTTTTTGGTTTGGCTCTGCTCAGGTGTGTGTGTGTCCCTCACTGTGGGCGTGATTATGGCAGTGCAGTGGCTTCAGAAAGCTGTTGTGGTTTTATCATTCAGACTTTACTATTTATTTGTTTATTTATTTTTGTCACMGTGCTGTTTAACTGTGGGTGATCAGTTTGTTCCACACCTCCCTGTTATCTGCTCAGCTTCGTCTCCTTCACCTCCCTCCAGGAAGTGTTTACARATCCTGCCTTTCCCAAAATCACCAGAAAAGTGATACCCTGGTTTTATCACTGCTTTCACCATGTGCTCATTCAGTCCCAGAGCTAATTCACAGGCAGCGTTCTGCTGACATCAAAATCATAAGCCTGCTGTACTCACTTCTACCAGCTTAGAAACATGGAAGAGGATACTGAAGCACTGTGTGTGTGCACGGTTTGAACCTAATGGAGACACATTCGGCTGAAGCTGAACTGCATACGAGCGTGTCGGTGGAGATCCATCCCCTCTAGCTGTGTGTCGTGTCATGTTACAGTCAACAGGGTTCAACTCTGGGCTGAAACAGACTGAGCCAAAGGAGGAAACCTCTTCAGTGCTTTCTGCCTTAGTGGGATAATATAATTTAAACTGATTTTTATTACCAATAATTTCCATTTGTTTTTACTTGAATAATCTTTAAGTGTTTTTTATTCATACTGAATGTGTCATTTTCTTCTTCTCTGCAGCATTTTCAGCTGGCATTGATTGACTCCAATCTGTGCACGTTGTCCAAAGCTGAAAGTAAGTACTAAAGCTGTAGCTATAACAGCTCAAAGTTAAAGCAGTTGTACTCATGCTGTGTGGTGTAGCGTAGCATTTAGATTGAATATAGCACCTTCCCAGCATTCATTAGCAGATTATTTCTGCAGAGCAGCTCTCCTTCTCTGCTGACTGCCCAAGACTGGTGTTGCCTTGGAGACAGCACAAGGAGAAGGCGCTGGCAGGGCCTGCAGACACATTGCACATGCACATAGTGATTTAAAACTGCATGTAACCTCTAGAGAGACTATATTCTCATGTCTGTTCTCCATACTATATTCTGCATTCATAGAGCTTAAACAGGTGAATGTGTAATGTTGAYTGTTGTGATAATAAACAATTTTTTTCTTTATTTTTTCCCCTACAGTTCAGTTCCACATCGCTCATTTGTATGAAATCCAGGTAAAGAATCATTCACATTCTTTATACAGTATTTCTATAGATCAGAGTTCGATGTCCAGTAACCTCCAAAAGTATCGAAACAGCAAGTCAAATTCCCTTGTTTTTGTTTTGTGCTGCAGACCTTTGTGTTCAAGATAAAAAGATTAGCATGGCACAACAGTTCCATATGTCAGCTTTTATTTCCTGATATTTACTGTAAATGTAGATGTGTTAAACAACTCGGAACATTTCAACCCACCCATTTTTCAAGTGAGCACAACTATTGGAACATGTGACTGACAGGTGTTTCCTATTGACCAAGTGTTACGTCTAAGCTTGATTGTTCAAATATTAAATAGCTCTGCATGATTGGTCTACTTTTTGGCCTAGGTTTAAACTATAAATTAAGTTTTTCTTGTTAAAGAGTATAAACCAACATGAAAACCTGAGAGCTGTCTATGGGAGAAAAGCACGTCAATTTGAAGCCGAGAAAAGGAAAATCGATCAGAGCCACTGGACAAACATTGAGAATAGCAAACACAATAATTTGGAAAGTCCTGAATAAAAAAATACTGGTGTACTGAGTAAGTGATGTCAGCCAAGGAAAACAACTGTAGTTGATGACAGAAATATTGTGAGCTTTGCAGAAAAAAACCCCTAAAACATCAGTGACATCACCAACGACCTCCACAGTGCAGGGGTGAAGGTATCGCAATCCTCTGTTCAAAAAAGGCTGAGCAGAAATATAGAGGCCATACACAAAGATGCAAACCACTCATCACTAATAGGGATGCAAGTTAACCAACCAACCAACCATCCATCCATCCATCCATCCATCCATCCATCCATCCAACCAACCATCCATCCATCCATCCATCCATCCATCCATCCATCCATCCATCCATCTTCTTCCACTTATCTGGGATCGGGTCGCGGGGGCAGCAACTTTTGCAGAGAAGCCCAGATGGGCCTGCTCATCTGGGGGAATCCCAAGGTGTTCCCAGGCCAGCTGAGAAACATAGTCCCTCCAGCATGTCCTGGGTCTTCCTCTGGGTCTCCTCCCAGTGGGACRTGTCCAGAACACCTCACCAGGGAGGTGTCCAGGAGGTATCCTAACCAGATGAACCACCTCAACTGGCTCCTCTGGACGTGGAGGAGCAGCGGCTCTATTCTGAGTCCATCCTGGATGACTGAGCTTCTCAGCCTATCTCTAAGGGAGAGCCCAGACACCATGCAGAGGAAACTCATTTCAGCTGCTTGTATCCGCAGTCTCATTCTTTTGGTCACTACCCAAAGCTCGTGACCATAGATGAGGGTAGGAACGTAGCCCGATCGCCTTCTGGCTTAGCTCTTGCTTCATCACGACAGATCAGTACAGTGCCCACATCACTGCAGATGCAGCACCTATCTGCCTGTTGATCTCCCACTCCATTCTTTCCTTATTTGTGAAGAAGACCCTGAAATACTTAAAGTCCTCCACTTGGGGCATTCTACCCTTTTCCTGCTTAAGACCATGGTCTCTGATTTGGAGGCACTAATCCTCATTCTGGCCACTTCACACTTGGCTGTGAACTTCTCCAATGAAAGCTGGAGATCATGATTCTATGAAGCCAATAAGTCTACATAATCTGCAAAAAGCAGAGATGCAATCCTAAGGTCACAAAAACTGATCCCCTCAACCTCTTGACTACGTCTAGAAATTCTGTCCACAAGTTATGAACAGAATTGGTGACAAAGGGCAACCTTGGTGGAGTCCAACTCTCACTGGAAATTAGCCATACTCACTACCAGCAATGCATACTAAGGTCTGACATCAGTCGTACAGGGACCTAACAGATCAACATATAATATATCAAAGGGCTTGGTACCCCATACTCCCAGAGTATGCCCCTTCCTCCCTCTGCAGTCTCCCTTTTGGAATAGGGGGACCACCACCCCGGTCTGTCAATCAATGGGAACTGCCCTTGATGTCCATGCAATATTGTAGGGTCGCATCAACCAACGCAACCCCACAACACCCAGAGCCTTAAGGAACTCTGGGCAAATCTCATCCCCCAGTGCCTTGCCACCAAGGGTCTTTTTAACCACTTCTGTGACCTCAGCACCAGAGATTGGAGAGTCCGACCCAGGGTCCTCAGGCTCTGCTTCTATATTAGAAGACATGTTGTTGGGATTGAGGTGGTCTTTGAAGTATTCTGTCCACTGACCCACAATGTCCCGAGTTGAGGTCAGCAGCRCACATCCCCTACATAAATAGTGTTGGTGGTGGAACCCCCCTCCCCCCGAGACACCAGATGGTGGACCAGAATCACCTCAGAGCCGTACAGAAGTCCTTTTCCATGGCCTCTCTGAACTCCTCCCATGCCCGAGTTTTTGCATCAGCGACCACCCGAGCTGCAATCCGCTTGGACTGCMMATACCTATCAGCTGCTGCCGGAGTCCCACAGGCCAAAAAGATCTGATAGGACTTCTTCTTAATCCTGACAGCATCCCTCACTGCCGGTGTCCACCAGCGGGTTTGAGGGTTGCCACCACGACAGGCACTGACAACCTTATGGCCACAGCTCGACAGCCGCCTCGACAATGGAGGCACGGAACATAGCCCACTTAGACTCAATGTCCCCACCTCTCCCGGAAGGTGTTTGAAGTTCCCCCGGAGGTGCGAGTTGAAACTCCGTCTGACAGGAGACTCTGAAAGATGTTCCCAGCAGACCCTCACTATACGTTTGGGTCTGCCAGGTCTGACTGGCATCCTCCCCCACCAATAGAGCCTTTCTTCACCCGAGTGTCCAAAACATGTGGCCACAGATCAGATGAAATGACAACAAAGTCAATCGAACTGCGGCCTAGGGTGTCATGGTGCCAAGAGCACATATGGACACCTTTATGTTTGAACAAGGTGTTCGTTATGGACAATCCATGGTGAGCACAGAAGTCCAATAACAAAACACCTCTTGGGTTCAGATCGGGGGGGCCGTTCCTCCCAACCACGCCTCTCTAGGTCTCAATGTCATTACCCATGTGAACGTTGAAGGCCCTCAGCAGAATGAGGGAGTCCCTGTTAGGAGCCCTCTCCAGCACCCCCTCCAAGGACTCCAGAAAGGGTGGGTAATCTGAACTGCTGTTAGGCTCATAGGCACAAACAACAGTCAGGACCCGTACCCCCACTCGTAGGTAGAGGGAGGCTACCCTCTCCTTCACCAGGGTGAACCCCAACATACAGGTACCAAGATGGGGGGTAATAAGTATGTCCACTCCTGCTCAGTGCCTTTCAGCATGGGCAACTCCAGAGTGTAAGAGTGTCCAACCCCTCTGGAGGAGACTGGTTCCAGAGCCAGAGCGGTGCTTCGAGGTGATTTCAACTATATCTAGTCAGAACCTCTGAACMTCACACACCAGCTCAGGCTCCTCCCCCACCAGAGAGGTGACATTCCACATCCCTAGAGCCAGCTTCTGTAGCTGAGGATCAGACCGCCAAGGTCCCCTTAGAACACTCAGTCCAATGTTGCCTCTCCACCACAATAAGGTGACAGCCCAGGGAGAGGATGCAAGTTTTCAATTAATGAATTAATCTAACGTTGATTGATCTTATCTATCAATTAATGAATAATTGTTAAGCAGCCGTTTTCTTAAAAACCTAAGTTTTTTTCTTTTATCAAGCAAGTTTTTCCAGCTTACYTCCGACCCTGTGCCTCCAAGCAAGGCAGTAACAGACCCAGGCAGGCCAACTGCCAACTAGGGCTGGGCGAAATGAGGAAAATCGTATATCCTGATATTTTTTGGCTATATCACGATACACGATATATATCACAATACCTCCAAAATTGATGAAAAAATTACTAAAAATTTGTCCATATTATATGAACACTGAATCTGAACAAATGTAAATGTTTTATTTTAACCATCAGTTTCAGACATAAGTTTTTTACAAATGGAAATATTGCCACTGTCTTTTTCTTGTCTACACTCTAGATTTTTAATAAACTCAAAAATAAATTAACCAAAGCAGCAAAATAGTACATCAAGCAAAAGGGAAAAATAAACCATTGAACCTTCAAAAGGTGCTCTTGTCCTTTAGCATTAAGTCAAAAAATGGAATGACTTTAAAATACAAAAACACAAGTATAGTATAAAAGTAAGTATAGTACATAACAGTGATGATAAACTTGACTGACCCAGAACGGCATGTTTTTCAAATTATTGCATTTTGTTTGACGTCCTCTTTATAAAATCCAAACTACTGCCAGATTATTGATCCGGTGCTGTTTCTCTTCAGAACTACTTTATTCAAATTCAGTCCAATCTGAGTTGTCTTCAGTTTTATTCTCAGGCTCAGTCCAATCTCCCGCTGCCACCATGTTTTTCTTATGCTTCTCTCTCTGTGTCCAGACGGGCGGGGGCTAGTGATGCGTTCAAGTGTGTTGGAAAAGCAACACTTGGGGATGGACGCAGCTTATTGTTTGCATGATAATTTATACATGATGGTCACAATAAATCAGTCAAATTATGTTACTGATATGTATAAAGACTGCAAAGGCTGAAAAATCCTGAAGTTCAAATGAAATTAGAGATAATTTTAGGTAATTTTTAATATTTTTTAAGCTAACAAAAAGGGGGGGGGTCGTATTATACATAAAATTATATTACACTAGGAATGTGCGATATGGCAAAAAATTCATATCACGATATACGTTATGA